AGGGTGTCTGTCAGGAGGGATCTGTGGTCAAGCCCACCATATTATATCGTGAGCTAAGGCCTTGAGATTTAACACCTAGAGTTGACCCGGTGGCTTGGCACACGACAGACACTTTTTACAGATTGGCTTAATGAACTGACCTGTAATCAGGGTTAGGGTTAGATAGGAATTTGGGGTTTTCATGAGCTGTATAACAAAATCATCAATATTAGAAACAATAAAAGGCTTGAACTCGTTTGGGCAGCTTGTGAGTAAACCATGCTAGCTTAAACTCGTGTGCTAGCATCAGAATGTTCCAATCCAATCCAATTTTATTCATAAAGCGCATTCACAAGGCATTACAACCAAACAAGGCGCTGTACACTAAAAATGTTAGTTAATTAAACTGGCGTTATACAAACATGTCAAACACAGATAGAAGATAAAAAGTTAATACAACAAAATTCCCAAAAATAACAGCTAAAAATCAATAAGACACAGGGAGAATAAAAATAGGAAAAAACATTTACCTCAATAATACGGAAGTCGATAATTGTGGAGTCCATTTTTAAACAGTGCAGATGTAAGTGAGGTTCATAATTATGTTGTATAAGCTAGGTTGAAGTAGTGAGTTTTCAGGCGTGATTTAAATATGCTAGCTGTTGGTGCTAGCCTCACTAGCAGTGGTAATGTGTTCCACACCTTCGGTGCACAGACAGAGAAAGCCCTTTCTCCACGGCTTTTTAAACGTGCATTGGGAACAGCTAGGAGGAGCTTATCTTCAGACCTGAGAGCACGCGGCGGGTTGTAGTAATGGACAAGTTCACACAGATATGGAGGAGCTTGATGGTTCAAGGATTTGTAAGTCAGAAGCATAATTTTGAAGTTTATCCTGAGCTGCACGGGCAACCAGTGGAGAGATTTCAGAATTGGTGAAATGTGTTGTCTTCTGTCAGCTCCAGTCAGCAACCTAGCTGCTGAATTCTGGACCAGCTGAAGTCTAGAAAGAGCTGCTTTACTGATGCCGTATAAGCAGGAGTTAGAGTAATCCAGCCTTGAGGTGATGAAAGTGTGGACCACCGATTTCAGAAGACGGACACTCAGGATGTGCTTTAGTTTCGAGATGCGTCTTAGTTGGTAAAAACATGATTTAACTGTGTTATTGACCTGGGCATCCATCTTCAGAGCCTGGTCCATTTTTACTCCAAGGTTGGAGATTACAGAGGATACATTAGGTGAGAGATAGTTGAGGTCAGGTTGATGAGTCGCCGTGGTACTGTTAGGACTAAAAACGATTAAGTCAGTTTTGGAGTCATTAAGATGGAGGAAGTACAATGAATATCGTACAGATTACTATCATGTACCAGACAGTTAAAATAGTATTGCTCAGTTAATATAATATTAATACTAATAAGTGTCTATCAGCTGTCTCATACTCGTTAATATCCGTTCACCCAACATAGTTTAGTGCTTAGAGAGAGGGAGAGAGATGCCTTCTGGAGGTCATGTGGGCTTCTGTGGATCCGACTTAGACACCAGAGAGCCAGTCAAGTTGGTATTTTTAAAAGCTGCGCACGATCTTCTCCTGGAGGTCCGCGGCAGTTCTGATCTGGTTCTGATCCAGGCACCAGCTGTCCCGCTGAGCCGCTGTCTCTTCTGGTGGTCGGTTCTGACCTGGTTCTGATGGTGATCTGAGCTCCAGAAATCCACCTTTAATTTTTTAAACCCCACCACGATACCGACCGATGTGGGCTACAAAAGTCCGTCTTTTCAGCTGCACAAAACGTCCTCAGGCACAGAGAGAGGCGTTGTTTCTCTTATCTGGAAACCCGTGGACTCGATGTCCAGACAGGCTGGAGTTGGTACAGCCTTCACACACTATAGTAAATCAACATGAACACAATCCAACACTAGTAAACACACAGACTGACTGGATCACATGACCTCTCTACCCTAAAACTAGCCACTCTCCACACTGAGCTGAGGCAGCCTAGCTTCTAACTCCCTTTGGTCACGTCAGAGTTCAGATTTAGAAACGAGCCTTTTTAGAAGCTTTGCCGAAACAGGCCACTTTTTACTAGAAAACTCTGCTGTTATGTATTTTAAAATGAAATATCCACAATAAGCATTTCAAATAGTATTTTTTAGACAGATTTTTATATGAATTGGAAAAAAAATGTACCTGCAATTTGGTGTTCTGCTGTTTGTCAATTTAAGCAGCAGAACACGGTGTCGTTTCACTTGAAACATGTCAAATGAAATATTTGATTAATCAGAAGATTCAATAGAAAATTCAAATACTAAAATATCCAATAGCTGCAGTCCTATTTTAAACCTTTAACAGAAAAACAAATGAACAAGAAGACGCAAAAACACAGCCTGCACCAAACCGAGGTACGTCTGAGCAGGTAAAGGTTCACAAATACAACACGGTGGTGTTGTACCTGAACAAGTGAACAATCATTCATGAACTTGTTGGGGTTTTTTTTGAGAACGTAAACCAAACTCGGACGTATTTTGCCTGATGAATATTAAAGTGAGCTCTCATTCTGGTGTGTGAACAGGTTTATGAACAGCACTCTACCACAGTTTGAGAGCTCCAGATCTCCACGAAGCTAAAGCCTTAGCTAAAACATCCTGTTAACCATACAGTTCATAAAAAGTAGACCACGACAATGTGACTATCATAGACGGTAGCAATCCTCGTGGTGTCAACTCTTCTATGTCTATGCCGTTGAGGACGGACCTCTAATCAACAAATCTACACTAATTTGAATAAAAGAAAATGTTCTTTTCTAAATGACACTGACAAAAATGTCAGCAGATATTTCAGAATCAGCTTTATAGCAAAGTACGTGAGTTAGACTTACGCCACCAGGAATCTGCTTTGGTTGTTATTGTGTTTTAATTACATGCACTACTGGTGTTTGTCCGTGTGTTCAGCTAATTATAAGAACTACTTTTGCTTTTTAGAGATTGTAACACATTTTTTATGCTGGTGCTACAACTTTTTGTTCTTTGCTACAAAACCTACGACCTTCATAGCACCAG